ACGCCGGGCTGCGCTCCCTTGGCTGCCAAAGCCGCTCGCGCTGGCAAGGGGCGCGCGGGAGACGAGGGCGGGCAGGATGTGGGCAGGGGGCACAAAGCGGCCAGAGGCTGGTGCTGGGAACACCAGCAGAGAGCCAGGCAGTACCCGGGGCGGGAGCTGGGACAGGAGAGGAGAGGTCCGGCCGGAGGAGCCGGAGAGGAGAAAACATCCACCCCAGTGCCCCGAGCCTTGGGGGGAGGGATTTTTTGTGAGGTATCTGGCAATCCTACGTCCTGACCAGGCCAGGCAGATCTCCAGCTGCAATGGTAGCTCAGCTGCCTACAGAGACATACTTCACCCATACACCAGCTTGGTGCCCACAGCTGCCTTGGCTGTCTTCGTGTCCTAGTCCGCTGAGACAGGTGTGACATCCCTGCCGTAGCCCCTCATGGCACTTCGGCCATTTCTCTTCCCTGCAGGCATTTACTTTGAAAGACATTCAAAAATAACGGGCTGTAGTCAGGATAATCACCAGCAGGAAAGGAACAGTTAAAGCCAACTCGAGAGAGGTAACATTTTTGGTTTGGAATAGGCTGCCTAGCATGGAAAGAATTCAATGACATTTCATCCTTGAAATAAATGGCATCTCTCACCAGTAGGTTGGATTTCTAGTTCCATAACTTTTCTCAGTATAAAATGGATTAAATCATATTTATTTTGTTATTTGTTTGGAGAGTTGCAACTATTGCTTGTCCAAAGGAGAGATGATGATGATGATGATGATAAAGTGGAGAGAGAGAGAGAGCGAAATGAGATATATGGATAGCATATAGCAGAGGATAGATTGAGAAACAGAAAATAACTTTTCAGAGCACAAGAATAAAGGTCAAAGTCCAGTATCCAGAGAGTTTTTCCCCTTCTGGATCAGTACCACATACACATGGGATAAGGATCAAGCTTGTATTAATAATGAAAATTATTAATAATTATTATTATGCCAATATTTTGAATTATTTCTGTGTCATCATTTTTTTAAATTGATTGCTTGTCAAGTCAGTTAATAATGAAAGAGTGGATCAGCTTGAAATATTCAGAATAGTGCTATGGACAAAAAATACCTGTGACTGAGTAACTCAATCTTATATTTTAATGATTTTGTTAAGATATATATTTAAATACATTGTCATTATACACAATAATGATAACATTTATATATTAATATGCATGCAACTAAAAACTTAGATGAATCACTATATTAATGTTTATATTGTCAAATATTACTTATTTATGTCCATTTTTTAAACTCAGATTGTAAACGTCTAAAATTAAAAAGCAATGTATAAAGATGAGAAATAGCAAATTCTGATATAGAGCCATTCTTTCTTCATATTTTGCTTCCCAAGTGCCTATGAACAAATAAGTGCAGTTAAAAGTGATACGTCTACAGTGTTAGTGTTTTCTATCACTTGCAAATTCCCTGATAAGAAACAGTTTGATACTGCTGCAGTAGCAAAATCTGATGGGAAGCAATGATAATACACTCTGCTACCCTATATCTGAGGGACCTGGCAGTTCAAGCCGGGACCTGGCACTGGAGACAGTGGGGAGGTGAATCAGTTCAAAGCGTGTGTATGTGTGTGCACTTATCTCTATTCCTCTCACAGGGCAAGAACCAGCAAGGCTGCAGCTCTGTAGCTGCCAGCAAGAGAGTCACGTGCAATCCAGAGGCTTTGCACAAAGGGCAGATGCTAAACTATTAAGGCTTGAACCTTCTTTTACCTCTCTTTATCTCTGGTTGCATTAAATGTGTCAATATTTATCCCCCCGACTCATCCTCCTTTGGCATTTCTGCCACTTTCTGGATGGCTGAAATGTGCATGGCATAACCAGACAGCAATAACTGGAGACAAGGGGGGTTGCCTGAGATCTCCCTGGAGATAAGCATATAAAGAATATTTTTCTTCTCACAATTGAACCAGTGAAGAAAACAAGTGTTGAGGGATGTGGGGACAGTGATCACTACAGAGATAAAAGAGTGACAATAGGGCAACATGAAACAAAGACACAAAGCCTCCCATCTTTGTTTTATTATGAATTCTTTAAAACATTAAAGCAAACTCCCACATTCACCCCTACCTTTAGCAAATTCATTGCCTGGGAAAGACACTAGACAGGCTACCTGGATCATGGCAGAAACCACAGAATCAGAGTATGTCCGGAGACAGACTCTGCCAAGATGGCTCAGAATTATAGAGCTGGACAAAGGGTTTTCAAAATTTTGACTCCTCACTCCTCCCCCAAAGGCAGGGGGCAAAAGTGGATTATTTTGTATGTGATCTGTTGTTAATTTTCAACCAGTTCCACTCAAAACTCCTCTTTCTCCAGGCCTAAATAGTGATGGGAGAGGGGGCAATCAGTCTCTGTGCTGGTTTAATAGGCAGCAGCTTTAAAACAAATAAAAGGAAGTTCTTCACACAGTGCACAGTCAACCTGTGAAACTCCTTGCCTGAGGAAGTTGTGAAGGCTAGTGCTAGGACTATAACAGGACTATAACAGGGTTTAAAAAAGAGCTAGATAAATTCATGGAGGTTAAGCCCATTAATGGCTATTAGCCAGGATGAGTAAGGAATGGTGTCCCTAACCTCTGTTTGTCAGAGAGTGGAGATGGATGGCAGGGGAGAGATCATTTGATCATGACCTGTTTGGTTCACTACCTCTGGGGCACCTGGAGCACCTGGCATTGGGTACTGTCAGCACGAGAGGCATGGGGAGCTGCAAGCCCTCTCAGCTGTTTCCAGCATATGGAGATATACCCATCTCATAGAGCTACAAGGGACCTTGAGAGGTTATTGAGTCAAGTCTAGTTACCTACCCTCATGACAGTACCAAATACCATCCCTGACAGATTTGCCCCAGATGGCCCCCTCAAAGATTGAATTCTCAACCCTAGGTTTAGCAGGTCACTGTGCAAACCACTGACCTATCCCTACCCCCACCTGCTACTTAAAAGGCTCTCTTCTTCCCTGAGGTTGCATTGCTAGCAGCCCTGGGGGAAGGCAGCAGTCCTTTAAATAGAAACAGCTGAAAGGTCTGCAGCTCCCCGCCCT